TTCTTACTTGGAACTTGTCCCATTTTGTTTTAACAAGACGATTTTTAGATGGGAGATATTTTTTGGTATAAACGGAATATAAAATGTTAAGCAAGTATATTTTTTCATTTGAATGGAAGATGATGAAAGTTTATTGTTCTTTATCAATAGAAAGCCATAAAAAAATAAAAGTATATATATAAATAGAACAACACAAAAACGTAAAAAATATAAAAATTAAAAAGTGAAAGAAAAAAAAACATCACCACAAAAGGCGAGAACTGAGAAGAACTTAAAAAACATTTAGAAACATGTCTAAAACTGCAACACTTGAAAAAAGAGGAACTATTTGTTGGTCACCAAAAGGAAATCTTCTTGCTGTTGGTACAACAGCTGATACCATAGATGAAGATTTTGATAGTTCATCATTTATAGAAATATATGAAATTTCATCTGAAGCCAAGTTAATAAAGAAAGTTTCTGCACAAAATAGATTTTATAAATTAACATGGGGACCATATGAAGGATATGAAAATGGAATTATTGCTGTTTCTAATGATGAGTCAAAGATTGTTCTTTATGATGTTAGTAAAATTCTTGAAATGAAAGAAGAAGAAGATGTTGAAAAAGCTAAAATTATAGAAATGGAAACAAAAGAAGTTATTTATGATATTCAATTCCATCCAAGTCAAAATCAACTTGTTGCTGGAGGTGCATGTGGAGAGTTTATTATTTATGATATTTCAGATTTAAAGAATATTCAATTTACTCAACCAGAACAAAAAACACAAGCTGATATTAAATGTGTTAATTGGAATGTTAAAGTTCCTCATATTATTGCATTAACATTGTCAACTGGTTCAATTGTTATTTTTGATTGTAAAAAGAAAAAGAATATTATGACCTTTAATGATAAGACACATGCTAATTGGAAAGGAGCTTGTTGGGTTCCAACTGAAAAAACAACAATTGTTACTATTTCTGACTCAGAAGAAAAACCAGTACAACTTTGGGATGTTAGAAATACAATGGCACCAGTTAGAGTTTTTGAAGGACATAAAGCACCAGTTTGGTCTATTAATTTTAGTAAAACAGATCCAAATATTTTTGCTACTACTGGACAAGATAAAACAGCTATTTGGAATTTTGAAACAGGAAAAATTATTTGTGAGTTTCCATCTCAAGAAAATGTTTGGGATACATTTGTTCAATGGAGTAGCCAAGAAGGAAGAATGTGTACATGTGGACTTGATGGATTTATTAACTTTTATACTATTAGTGATTATGGAGATGGAAAACATCCAAGATGGATGGAAAGAACATCAGGATGTACTTTTGGATTTGGTGGTAAAATGGGTATTTTTAAAGGGAAAGAAGTGTTATTAAAAAAAATGGTTGGAACTGTTTCTATTAAGAAAATGGAAAAAGGAGAAATTGAAGAATTATGTGTAAAACGATCAGAAACTTGTCAAGGAGATGAACAAGAAACATGGAAACTTATTAGTGGAATTGTTTGTAAAGATGATAAAGCAGTAATGAAGATTACAGGATTTGAAGGTGAAAGTGTTAAAGAAAAAGTTAATGAATATTATAAAGAAAAAGGATTATTAAAAGTTGATGAAATAAAAGAAAAAGTTCCACAAGAAAAAGAAGTTAATAAAGCAGAAGTTGAAGAAGAAGATGATCCATTTGAACATATTGGAGAAGAGGAAGAAATTAAAGAAAATACTAAAGGGGAAATTGTTGTTGAAGAAGTTCATGAAGAGAAATATAAAGAAGATACTGTAGAAGATAAGATTATTGAAGAATTAGTTGTTAGTGGTGAAATTGATAAAGCTGTAGAATTTTGTATTAAAACTAAACGATTTGCTGATGCTTTAGTTATGACAGAAAATAATAAAGAAATGCATTCAAAAGTTATTGAAGAATATAAAAAGGAAGAATGGAATAAAAAGAAATCATTACATATAGTTAATGCTGTTATGGAAGAAAAACTCGAACAAATTGTCGAAGAATGTAATGTTGAAGAATGGAAATTTGTATTATACGCTATTTGTATTCATGCTAATGTTGCTTTAAAACCAGTATTAATTGTTAGACTTGGAGATAAATTATATCCAACAAATAAACATGCAGCATTAATTTGTTATATTGCATCAGGTAATGTTAATAAATTAATTGATATTTGGATTGATGCTTCACATGGAATTGAAGAAGTTATTGAAAGAATTGAAATATTAAGAAGTATGTGTGGTCACATTCAATTAACTGACTCAATTACAACTAAAATAGTTGAACACGCTACACAATTAGCTTCTATGGGAGAATTGAATGCAGCACAAAAGTTAATTGAATGCCTTGGTGCTCAACAAAATAACAAAACAAAAGAATTAATTGATAGAATTTATTATGCCCAAGGTGCTCAAGGAACTCAACCAGTTTGTCCTTATAAGAAAGTAATTGTTGGTTCAGTTCAACAGCCACATATTCAACAACCTACTTCACAACAACAACCTGTTACTAATAATAAATTCTTCCCACCTGTTCCTTCATCTAGTGGAGTTCCTACATTACCTACTATTCCACAACCAACATTACCAAATCAGACTCGTACTCAACCTGTGTTACCTCAAATTCCTGTTATGCCAACTCCTGTTCAACCAGTAATGCCTACTATTCCACAGCCAGTACTTCCATCAGCTCCAAAAGTAAATGCACCAATTTCACAACCATTGTTACCACAAGTACCTGCACCAGTAGTACAACCAACAATGCCAACTATACCAACTCCAGTAGTACAACCAGCAATCCCCTCTATTCCAAAAGTTACTGTACCTGTTTCACAACCAACAATGCCAGTTATGCCACAAGTTAATAATACATCAAGTTCTAGTGATGGAGTTATTGACGTTATGGTTTGTGATGAATTAAAGAAAGTTCTTGAACAAGTTACATCCAATATTGAAACCAAATCAAAAGGAACTACCTTTGAAAGACCAGCAAATGTTGCACTTAAAAAAGCATCTAGTTTTGCTGGATGCATTGATAAAATTCCAGCAGACATTGCCAAACAATTTATTAATTTATTCAATGATCTTCTTGAAGGAAAAGTTGGAGAAGCAGAACAAGCTTTCAAGAAGTTATTAGTTAATAAACAAACTACCCAATATATCCCTGCTTCAAGTGTTGCTTCAGTTAAATATGTTGTTGATGTTTCCAAACAAATGAAGTAACGTTAATTCATTTTTGAGGTTAAGTATTTATTTAATTATTTGTTCAGTTAAACTAATGACAAGAATCATAAACGTTATATTTTTTATATTTATATTGAATGTCACATATTATTTGAGGAAAAATTTATTTAATAAGGAATTTCAATTGAAAAGAATAATTTTTGATAATAATTTCAGTTTTAAGTATATAAATAGAAGGATGTTTAATTTAATTAATTAGAATTATTTATACATCTACATATTCTTGTTTAGTGATTTGAGAATGATTTGATAAATATCTAGTTGTTTGCGTTTTAGTAATGTGTTCTGTAAGACATGGCTTTTTCCATTGGGAAATGATGATGAATACTGAAAATAGTAAAGTTAAGAATAGGAGTATGATGTCTGAGGTAAAAGATATTAATGACAATACAACAATTGTATAATCAAAATGAACTATACATAAATTGTCTCTTGCATTAAACCCATATCCTATGTCTTTCATTGGACATATTATTTTTCCATCAAATTCATTTTTACAAGTACTTTTTATTTCAGTTGTTGGTGAAAGTAAAGGACATGACTTGAATATATAATGATTTCCATCACTCCGATATTCTGCAATGATACAACACTCATTCTAATATATGACACAATGTTTATTTGAAGAGAAATTAATAACAAACTTCAAATTCGTATTGAATAATATGATTATTATCAATATCAGCCCACGTCTTAGACATTTCAGTCATAATAACTGTACAATAAATAGACGCACAAAAACAACAGATGATACCAATTATTCCAATAATATTTATTATTATTTGTTGGTTTTGAGTTATTTCATTAATATAAAATGTATAAGAAATTCCAAACAAAGGGCAGATGAATGAAAGAATATATACAACAATTTTAAGTCCAAATTTAATATTATCCAATTCTTGTGAAGTAGAACCATAATATATTCCTATTGAAGAAATAATTACTGAAAAAAAACATATTGATAGAACCCAAATGAGTGAAAATATGTATATAAACTCGCTCTTGGTCATTTGTTTCAATGTTTCTATCCATTTTCAGTTATTCCAGATTGTTTTCTTGAAATTTCATATCTTTTATAAAAAAAGTATTAAAACTAACAAAAGAAGGAAGTCAGTTTATCAATTCATTTTTTAGAGACACATTTAATTCATCTTGAAACTTTTTTTATTCTTTTCTGAATGTAAAAAATTGAACCGTTTTTTTTTTTAAATTGTTATACAATTTCCTTTTTTCTTTTTATTTTATTTCTCAATTAAGCCTTTTGTTAACACTTATTTTGAGAAGTTAGTATTATGATTTGATGTATAACGTGTTAATTATTTTAAGATTTGAAAGCATTAATGATATTTTTAATTTATGATAAATTTATTATTATTTTTGAACAAATTACTTTTATTTCAACTCCAACATAAAAAAAAACATAAAATAATTCAGAGAAGTTATTGTGTATATTAATTAAGATTATTTAATAAAAATATTCAGTATAATTTTGTATTATAATGTGGTTTTATTATTACTTTTTTTAAGATAAAATAAAAAAATAGTTTAACAATGAATAGATGTTTGTAATATTTAAAACTTGTTTTAATGAGAAGAATGTACTATTAACTCATTCTTTTATTTAATAAAAACATTATTATTAAAATGTAATTGTATTATATTACTTAATTTAAAGAAGGTAGTAATAACACAGTTAAAATAAATTGTTTTTTTTTTGTAATAACACAAATAATTCAATTTAAAACCAATTAAGAGCTTCATATTTTTTCTTTAATTGAACACATTTTGGATCATATCCAAAGAATTTCTTTATTTCATCAGCTACAGTTGTTTGTTTTGATTTTGAAATAACATTTTTAGGTGTTTCATTATGAAGGTCAATCATTCCACCATTCGTTTGAACGTTGATAGCAAGTTCATGAAGAGGTTTTTTTTGTTCTTTTTTACTTTGGGCTTCAAAACGCCTTTTTTTATCAGTGCCTTTATGTTTTCTTGGTTTAATTCCAGCTAATTTAATATATAATTCCATTTTAGTAGGGTCACTTTCAGTTTTCATTTTTTCATTAAGTATTTCAACTTCTTCCAGAAAGTTGTTATAAGTTGGAGTATCATTGAAATCCCCTCGGTCTAATTCTTTTATGTTTTTAGGTAACTTTTCTCGTTTTTCTTTTTTCATTAATGAATCATCTCTTTTGTATGAAACAAACTCACTTTTCGATAACTCAATCCCACACTTCGGACATGTAAATTTCTCATGTTTTACTGAAAGACATGCTTGACATAAAATATGACAACAAATAGTTGATCTTCTTAACTCATCAATTTTAGTTTTATCACATTCTCCACATTTTCTATATTCATCAGGTATATGTCGTAGTGTTTTAGCATCAGGAAGTTCATAAGTCATGAGGTGTATAATCAAACAAAACTTTCAAACCTTTTTAAGTTTTTTTTTCTTTTTTTTTTAATGAGAATAAAAGAAGCTATTTTAATGTATCAAATAAAAGATGTGATCTATATGAAGTAGTACATATGAAAAGAACGTTATGTAATATATTTTTTGACAATAGTTTATACAATCCATTTAATAAACCTTTTATGAATAAATTAAATATTGAATGAATATAATATTATTTAAATAATATCTCAAAAGTTTAAATTTGGTAAAAAAATGATAATGAAGTACCTAAATATCCTAAGGTATTTAAGCTTAGGTTGAAAAATTACAATTTGTATATTTGTTAAAGATAATAAGTAAAGAGAAATTTATTCAACAGTGAATTTAAATTTCTGATAAATGGGTTTGTAATAGAGTTAGTTATATTATTAAGAATTATGAAAATTAAAATACATTAATTTTGATTGAAATAAATCAGTAAAATAATGAAAGATTTTTTATAAGTGAAATTATTTTAAGTTAAAAAAATTTTTGTTGGATAAATATTTTTGTTATTCTTAAATATTGTTTTTGTGAATGAAATTTTTAATTAACAAAAAAGCAAAGAGTAATGAAGATAAAAGGAGCAAAAGAATATTATTATGAAAAGTTTTTCAACAACATTTATATGATGAAAATTCAAAAGAGAAATAGGTAATTAAGAAAATTCTAGGTTTTTTCTTTAAGTTTCAAGACAATGAAGTTATTTTGAGAGAGTTACAATAAAAGTTAAAAAGAAGTGAGTCATCTACTAAAACAATAAAGATCTTTTAAATAATAGTTAAAAGAATAAAAATAATAAATTAGACTAAAAGAGACTTCCAAAGAAATTTCATAATCAAAGAAGAATGATAAGAAGTTTGAAAAAAAAGTTCAAAAGAAAATGTTTGAATTATTGATGATATATTTTTTGATACATTAATTGTAAAACTTTTAAATCAAAAGAGTAATAAATTAAATATGAACCAATCAATTTTTATTGAGCGTCAAACTTGTGCACGGATACAAGTTATTGGGAATAAAGAGATATACATTGTTGTTAAACAAAATAATTTTTACATACAGTTACGTTCAGAAACAATACAACTAACAGAATGTGAATTTAAATGTGTATTAATTTATGACACTCCTGATAAACAATTAGTTCCATTTGTCAATGCCTCGCCAATTAAATATAAAATACATCAATTAACAACAAATTCTGTTACAATAGAAAGTAAATTAACTGTTTTATCTAGTCAACATGAAGATATGTTATTTATTGTACGTATTGATATTTTAAGTCATAAAGAATTAATTACTAAACTTTTTTCTGCTCCAATTAAAGTTACTTCTAAACCTGAGTCTAAAAAGAAACTAAAATTTGATTCTTTTAAAAGAGATAATGAAAAAAAACCAAAAATTTGTGAAAATTTAAAGATTTCAAATTCATCAAGTCCTACAGATGAATCAAAAATTTGTGTATTTACTCTTCTTGCTACTAATTCAATATTAATGGAACAAATTAGAAAGAATCTTAATAAAATAAAACCAATTGAAACATTAGAAAATGGATTAAAAAAATATATTCGATTAATGCTTTCGCTTGATTTTAGTTGTCATCAATATTATCTCTTTGACTCTATAAAATCATTATCTCTTCAACAAATAACAGCATTAGAAGAAATATCAAATGTCTTTACTCATTCTTCTCATTCAATTTCATTCATTAATTTTAACCAACAAATTCAAAGTCAAGAAACACAATTTGATTTAACTAGTAATTCAGTGCCAAACCCATTTTTAAGAAAGTCTTCACTTGAACAACAATTTTAATTCCTTTTTTGTTATAAAAACAAAAAAGAATTTATGAATAGTTTAATATAGTTATTTTTAATATTTTTTAATTTCTTTGTTTTTTAAAAAAAACTATAAAACCATTCTTTCATGTCAGAAAAACAACAAAATGATATAGAATGGGTTAGTCCTATCCCTCTAGTTCCAACAGATGAAATGCTAAAAGATCCATCATTTGAACCTCTTGACCCTGCTGCTTATCTTCATACACTTCATCAACAAACAACATGTTGTGCAAGTGCACTTGATGATTATATTGCAAAGATACAAGTATTTCTTCAAAACGTTTGTTTTATATAAATTAAAGTGAATTATTTTATATTAATTAATAGTGCTCTGATGCTACTTCAAAATCAACTGAAATTCATAAAGCAAGTACAAATCAAGTTCTTTTATCAGTATTAGATTATTCAGATTCTGTTGATCAATTATTAAACCGATTTAGTCAAATTGAACAATCAGTAGCTGGTCTTGCTGAATTAAATGCTGAAGTGTTTGTTATTTAATAAATCATTTAAGAAGGTTATAGTACTAATTATTAGAAAAGATTTACGGAAGAAAGTCGAGCAATTAGAAGTATTTGTACGTCAACTTTGCTTTAAAAAATAAATAACACATTTTCAATATTAATAATATTTTTTTTTGGTATTTTACTTAAATCCTAAAATAAATTATTTTTCTTTCTTTTTTTCTTAAAGAAAATAACCCAATAAAATGATAAAATTATAATAATATAAAACTATTCAAATTAATTTAACATATTTCATAAAAGAAGTATTGGATTAACTAGTTATTTAAATTTTTTGTTTATAAGATGACTGATACTAATGCATTCAATAATTTATTATTTGACACAAGTAGTGGATTATTAATGTCAATCTGTTGTAATGTTTGTTTTAGTTTTAAAGAGAAGAAAAAAAAAAGAAAAATATAATATTATAGTTAATATATGATCCTACAGATCAATTTTGTCAAAAAAATGCATCATGTGTTATGGAATACTTTTCTGCATATGGAAAAATGCAAGACTTATTTATTTGGGCATTCGAAAAAGAATATCTAGAAAAAAGTTTATTATTTTTAATAATTTTTATTATGAATTATTAGATGAGAAAAAGTTATTTATATTGTAGGAAATGCACGAGATGAAGTAGAAACATATAAATTTTTTACGGCATTTAATTATCTTTATGCTATTGATAATTTTTTTGATTATTCAAAAGAAGTAATTAAACCATTATTTGAAGATCGTACAATGCTTGACTCAATTGATATTGATTTATTTAGAGGAAATTTAGATGAATATACGAAAGAAATGAATGAAAAGTATTACAAAAATATTCAAGACTTATTAAAAATGATTCAAATATTAAAAAATGGATTTGAAGTATATTTAAGATTAATTCCAATGAATTATTTTACAATGTTAAATGGAATATCTAAATTACTTGATAATCCAATTTATAAGAAAAAGGGATTTAATTCCAGTTTATTTGGTAAAATTATTAAATTAACAGTAACTAATTTTATGAAAAATAAAAGAATGCTCAGAAGAGCATTTCAAAATACTGACCAATATATCGAGAAAATTGGGTTTGTTGCTGATACTTTAGAGAAAATGCTTAATAAATGTAATGAACCTTATGTTATGCATCTTGTTGCTGTTGCACATAATTTAGAAGAATTTATGTCAATTGAAACTATTTTAGAACATTCAAAATATGAAGAAAAACAACAAACTCAAGAAGTATGTCAAATGTCTTCAAATGAATTAGCTTCTTTAATTAAATGTAATATTCTTCCTATTAAAAGAATGTTATCTCCATTAATTAGGGTAGAAGTATCAAAAGCATTATCATTATCTGGTTGCTCTTCTGATGACTTCTTAATTTACACTAATGTACTCCGTTCTTTTGAAACTTTCTCAAGGGAATTTTACACATATTTTAAAGCAGTATGTAGTGAAGAAGAAAGTAAATTAAGACAATTAAATTCTATTAAAGAAAAAGTTTGTCAATCAAATAATATATTAAAAGAAAAGAAGATAAAAAATATGAAACTAAAAGAACAATTACAACAACTTTGTATTAAAAAAGGAATTCACAATTTTTCTGATATTTTATTAAAGACAACTAGTTCTACATCTGGTCCACTTAATATTCAATCAAATTTAGAACGTCATAAAGGAAAATTAAATGAAAGCACACAACAACAAAAGTTAATAATGAAAAATGAGATTAAGAAAGTAACACAAGATGAAAAGAAAGCTGAGAAGAAAAGAAAAGCTGAACAAAAGAAAATGGAAAAAGAAGAAAAAAAAAGAAAAAAAGAAGAAGAAAAGAAATCAAAAAAAGATGTCAAATAACATTTTTCTCCTTTCATTCAGTTCTTTGTTTTTTGGTATTTAAGTAATAACTTTATTTAATTTCAAACTACTAATTATTTTTTTAGATATTGAACTTTAAATTGATAATGTTCGATCTTGAGTCTTTTAATAAAGTATTGTTTAACCAAGAATCTGGTGTTGTTTTTGCTATTTGTTCAAATGTTTGATTAATTTACATATAAATATAATACCTAATATTTTATATTTATTAGTTAGTTAATTTATAATGTTAATGATAAAGAATGCATTAAGAATGCAGAAATTTTAATGAAATATTTTCATGCACATGGTAGATTAGAAGAATTACTTATTTGGGCATTTAACAAACAAATTATCACAAAAGGTTTGTATTAAAAATTCAATAGAATTTTAATTAAAACGTCAAATAAAAATAATACTGTAGATAATAAAAATATATTGTTTAATAATGATGGGTATTTTTCTTTATTTTTTTATGTATTTGCATTAAAATATATTCCTAAATTTTTTCAATCTATTATTCATTTGCTTTATGATCAACAACAACTAATTGATAAAATTAATGTTAATATATTAAATGGAAATTGTGATGATTATTCAGAAGAGAATAATGAAAAGTATGTAAATAATTTAATGATATTGGTTAAATTATTTCATATTATTCATGACCATAAATCAGAAATTTTAAATAAATTCTCTCCATTCTTTATTCATTTAATAAAAATTGTTTTTAAAAGAATTGATCAATTAGTAGAAGATAAAGAAGGATTAATTAAAAATGATATTTTCAATGTGATGGTAAGAAGTATCTTTAACATTGTTTCTAATGACATTGGACTTTTTAAACAAATTGTTGGAATTGATTTTTATGAGAGAAATTCAAAAGTTTTAACATTTATTTCTCAATTGATTACAAGAGTTGTTGGTGTTAAAACAACTGACAATGATATTCTTGCACATCAATTAAGAGGTATGTTAAATAAAGAAGTTGATATTGATAATTTATTATTATCTAAACATATAATGAATAGTCCTGATGATGATAGTTGTAAGTTTATTGAATTAACACCAGAAATTATTATTGATTTAGTTATGTTAATAAAAACAAATTCCCTTCCAATGAAAAAATATTTAAATAATAACATTAGTTCTCAAATATATCAGTCATTAGAATTTTTTACAAGTAATATTGATGATTATAATACTTATGAAAATTTAATTCATTCATTAAATCAATTTGTTCATGACTATTATGTTCAATTATATATCAGTGTAGGACAGGCTGATAAAATTGAAGAGCAGTTTTATGAAATAAAGGAAGAATTTGATGAAAAATTTTATGAATTAGAAGAAAAGAAAAGAAAGAATCAATTATTATTAGAACGACTAAATGAACTAAAAAAAGGAAAAGAAGTTCATGGAATATCAAAGGATGATTTAAAATCATCAAATCTTTCTTTCAGTTCAAATGAATTAAAGTCAAATCAAACAAAGAAATCTTCTTTAAGTGATTCTTCTCTTAAAAGTGTGTTTGAAGGTATGGAAAAAAAACATAAAGAAACAATGGAATCACTTAAAAAAATAAGAGAAAAACGTATTGAACAAATGAAAGAGAAAAAGAAACAAATAAAAAAAGAATGGAGTTCAAATTGGAAAGAATTTAAAGAAACTCGTGAAGAAGAAAAAAGAAAGAAAGAATTAAAGAAGGTATTGAAAAAAGAAAAAAGAGAAGAAAAGAAAAGAAAAAAAGAACTTGGTGGGGATTTAACAAGTGAAATATCAAGTTTATCTTTGAGCACTTCCACAACAAATTTGAGAGATAACAGTTCTGAAATTAATTAACTCTTTATTATATTATTTAATAATTCATTAAAAAGGGTTTTTTTTAATTTATCTATTTATTTCAGAACTTTGTTTATTAATTATTATTCTATTTTATGAAAATTGTTTCTTTTAATTTAAATAATAAAAAACCACTTAAAATTACTACAGTTCATAGTCAATATATTCTTCGGACAATTTCATATTCAGGTGATGATAGTATTGTTGTATTTATTGTTCCAGAAGGGAAAAAGCCAATGAGAATTTGTCGTATGAATGGAAGTGGAAGTAGTGAGTATTTACTTCCAATTGATAAGAATGTATCATTTATGCTTAAAGGAAAAGGAACAGTAACATTAACCTTTACTGAACATCTACTTGTTAGTAATGATGATACTGTAAGTTATATGTGTGATGTAATAACAGAAAGTGATCGTGAAAAAATGCTTTAAAAATCTTAAATAAATAAAAACTAATTTAGTTTTACTTGTTTTCGTTTTCTTAATGAATCACTGAGTGAATATA